ATGTAAGTGAACAATAGCCTTTAAAATTACTTAAAATACATATATAATAGCAATGAGGCAATAATAATTAGTACAAATAAAGTATCAAAAGCAAGAAATCATATGGTTTTATTGAACAAAATTGTTAAAATGCATAATATATTATAAACAATAGAGCTAATGTACATTACACATTACAACAAAGGCCTGCAGAGGGCGCCAACGGCCTGACGAATGTTTTTACACATTACTGTGCGATCTAATCCTTGTTTAATATTGACCAAGAATCATTTTATTCAAATGTCCACTTAATCTTTAATATTTGCCCATTTATTTAGGACATAAATGCTATAGCCACTGTAATTAAAAGAATATGTGGACATCAAAACGTGTAAACTCAGAGTGAGGGTTTGAGCTTTTATTTTGTAACCGCGAGATGATGTATTCTCCTGTGTTTGCGTAGATTTATAAATGATTTACCTTACAAATCTGATGAAATGGCGCATGTTGCTTTCCCAGATGAACGTTATAATAAACCCAAACTCACAACAACATGCAGAGATGGAGTTTGAGACGCTCCACACATGTAAATGATAACAGTTCCTGTGGAACTACTGTGAACAGAGCAGCTGTGTGACGCATGTACTTAACCTACACGCATGTAAATAATTAAAGCACATATACTGTATTAGAACGGCATCGCATATAATTATTTAATTAAGTCGTAGCGTTTGTGAATTCACAATTATGATTTTTAAATGGGTTTAATATATCATGCAGCCTTAGAAAACCGACTAATAATGTGTTTTATACATTCTTGTCTGTGAAATGCGCCACTTCCGGTATTTTGCCGGTTAGTCGACGCAAGTTAAATGAAGTCGAGGATTTAAAAAAATCGAATAGTCGAATAAAATCGACGAATCGCGACAGCCCTAAATAGAAATTCACTAGATATAAAAACACTGCCACTACACACACACTTACATCAGGCCAAAAGTTCTTAGGGAATTTCTCCTTTTCTATGGTAGTCACTCCTTCCAGCGAGCCCATGTACTTGTTATGGCCTGAGACGGCTTTAAACTCCTTCACTACAAGGAGGAGGAATAAGCAAACAAGACATATTGTAAGAAAAGCATGCAGATGTAAGATCAATATACTAATGTTGGAAATGTCGCGTGGCTGTAGGCTGTGAGCGCAGGATCTATGAGACACTGATTTGATTGGGCACCAAATTCATTGGTCCTCTGATCTTAATGGCTTTTCTATTAGTCCTCTTCTTGAGAGCTTATTCATGAGATGCTGTGACTAGAACAGATGAAGGCTAGTGAAAATGCTTATGAGGTTAAATCCTGTTCTATCAGAGACTCGAAGGAGTCGAATGAGTCGAAGGAGAACATTTATTTGTGTTGTATTGGGTGGAAATGTATCTCTCTGTTAATGGCAGTTAATGTATTGTTTTTCAACCTGTGAGATTATGTGTGAATTTCACTGAAATTCATAACTTTATTACAAATGTTTAAAAAATATTAAAAGAACAGATTTTGTACAAAAAAAATTTAAATTCTTGGACCATTTAACCGACTTCACAACTTAATTCCCTGTATATAAATGACTAAATGTTTTCCGTTTCATCAAACAAACATTTGATTTAACATTTGCATAACTACTAATACTGTAATATATAATAGTAGGCTAAATAATTTTGAGAGCCAGTACTGTTTTTCAAATTATATGAATTCACCTAAATTTTGAACATTTGAATTCTAATTACTGTAAATCATCCAATGTTTTTACTTTAAATTATTCATTCACATTATTTTCAATGATGATTCTCAATAGACCATAATTCTGTCATTTTCTGTTACTTAATACTGTGTTTTTATAAGTATAAATTAAAGGCAGTATTACAGTTCTTTAATCATATATAGGTAACTTGACAATTTAGATAATATATCATAATTTGTCATGTTAAAATACTAAAATATGTCAAGAAAATATTGTCACAATATTAATGGTCCCAAAAATAGGTTTATTTATTTAAATAAAAATATAATTCTAATTCTGTCTATGAACATCATTCAGTGTTCAAATACTTTTGAATAAATCTCAGCTCATCCGGGTTACAATGCACGACCAGATGACCACACTACAACTATTTTATTCTATATATTTTTGGACTATTTCATGCCCATTTATTTATTTATTTGCTAAATAGCCATGTATTAAGCAGTCATTTTGCAAAAGAATCCCCAAAAGGGTGATCAGTCTGAGACTGCATTTTATTCCTTATACATTTGTTTCTTTTGATTTTACAATATGACCTGGACTTGTTCTTGACAGATTTAATAAAAAAATCTACCATAATATCTTATATTAGTATAAAAACTTACCATTGAAGTCATATTGTTGGATATTTTTCAGTGACTTGTGGATGAAATACATGCTTCCCAGAGCCTAAAAACAAATAAATCAATCAGTCAAGCTTAAAGTCACGCACAAGCAGGGGTTAACGGAGATCCCTTAAGTCTAAAGATCTCCTTTGATTTTGAAAGATGTTGATGATGTGCACACATCATTATCTTTAAACCCTGACTTTCAAGACACTATAACAGTCAATAATCTTTCTGAACTATCCCATGACAGACTTGCCTATAGTTTTGGTACCCAAAAAACACCTAGATATGCCAATGCGATACTCACAAACCCCAAGCACAAACACACACTTCCCGCATCTTTTCTGACAGCACGCTGAATGGATTTAACGTACTAGCTGCTTGCTCCAGTGAGCGCACATCAATCCAGTCCCGCAGAGATCAATACGGACAGAAAATTAAAACAATCACACAGGGATTAAACACAGAGCCCTGCTGTTGGCCCAACACAAGCCCCATGCATGACAGAGAAAAATGACCTGCCGGTGAGGGATGTTTTGACATGAAGCATGCCACACCATAAACACACACACACACACACACACATACACACACAGCCATGTTTTCTTACAAATATCCATCCCAGGAGAAATATATAAATCTTGTGAGAGAAATTATGCTTTTTGAATATGACAGTGCTTTCTAGATGACCAGTCTTGAGAGACTGGAAATTACAGCAGGCTACCCAAGTGCCACGGCTATGAACGGACAAGAAATTACTGGGAAGGGAGACGGGGAATGAGACTGGGAAATGACTGGATCCTGACTTTTTTGAACAAGAGGTCAACGTTTGGATGATTAGCATTTTATATTCTAATATAAAATGTTATTATGATTACTATATTTTTTTTTAGCATTTTTAAATAATTTAATATTTTAATTGTATTATAATAGATGCATTGCCAGTGACACTTTTTTGTTTTTGGAAGACCTTTAAAAACATAAAATGGATTATCCATAATATTTATACAATAATGTTCAAAAGTTTGGGGGGAGTACAGATCATTTTTTTTATTATTGTTTTTGTCAAAAAGTTATATTTCAAATAAATGCTTTTCTTTAACATTGACAATAATTAGAAATGTTTCTTGAGCAACAAATCAGCATATTAGAATGATTTCTGAAGATGATACTAAAGGCTGGAGTAATGATGCTGAAAATTCAGCTTTGCATCAGCTTTGCATTTTTCAAATGTTAAAAATTTTTTACTGACCCCAAACTACAGAACTGTAATGTATATTTTTTGTTAGTCCATGAGCGAAGATACTAAAGGCTGGAGTAATGATGCTGAAAATTCAGCTTTGCATCAGCTTTGCATTTTAATAAAAAAATTTTACTGACCCCAAACTACAGAACTGTAATGTATATTTTTTGTTAGTCCATGAGCGAAGACAACTGACTTTAAATTACATACTTCCAGAACTAAAAGCCAATATACTGTATTGCAGTAAAGTATCATTAAATACTGTTGACAAGGATATACTATATTTGAAATACCACTGGGGCATGGGAAAATTAGTCTCTTTGATAGAAAAAAACAAATTACTGTGTGATGGCATAAAATAAATAATCTTGCTAAAATTTAGCAATTTTTTATAATGAAAGTCCTCATTGCAGTGCATGAACTCACACACACACGCATAGCCACTGGCTATGTTAACACCCACCTTCATTCTCATTTGTCTCACATCATCTGTATTGATTTGTAATTAGTTTTCTGAGGGTTGTGAATCATCGCTTGACTGGGAAGAGAGTGCGTGGCACACTCATCGTACAAATGGTGTTTAGATAAAAAAAAATCACTTTTAAGTCAATACATTTTTATTAAACGCTGCACTGGCCTGATTGATGAAGATATGTGTAAAGCTGTGAGTGTGCTGATCTCTATTTGAGTGTACGTGTGTGCTTGTGGGCACGCTGAAACAGGCTCATGTGAAGGGCCAAATCTGGTTTGACAAAGATTATTTGTGTGTGACATTTCAACATTTTTACATTTATATTTTTTGGTAACAAAAACTGAAGTAGGTTTGGCAAAGGGTCCACATACAGAAAAACTCACTAACCCTCCTGCATCAACAAAACAAATGCACACTCGCTCACTCACACACGTAGACCTTAAGTTTATTTATCATGTTCAGACGAGAGGGACCTAATCAATAGTTTTAATCTGGAGTTAAACGTATTGACTCGGTCTGCTGCCTGGCCACTCCCGCACATTAACCCAGTCCATCAAGGTACAGACCTAACACACAGTGTACAAACACACACACACAGCACCTCTCACCTGGGTTGGCTGGGGGTTAATACCCTGCCAAACACCAGCAACTTCTCTCTTTTTACAGATTTTACTAAGTTACTTTGAGTAATAAAAGGGGTGCCGCAGGGCTCTGTCTTTGGTCCGTCACTGTTGTTAGATAGCAGCTGACTAAGAATTGACTTACTCAAGAGGTCTTTGTATTTTTTTTTAAACGATATGTCTAAATTTAAGAATTGACTTACTCAAGAGGTCTTTGTATTTTTGTTTAGAAACGATAAGTCTAAATTTTTAGAAAGTTTTTGTTGTTTCAGAATTTCTGTTTGCAGGTTTATTCTAAATAAACCCGCTTCGCGTAGGGGTCCTGATCACCCTGTCGGGGTTTATTCTGAGATAACCGGCTGGATGTACATTATCCCTTACATATATGTCACAGTGTTTTTTACATTCCACTTGCACCTGAGCCTTTTGCAGCTTCTCGTACATAACGTGTGTAGTCATGAGGTCCTAGTTTAAATTTAAAAAATGCTTCTACAAAAGTTTCATCTGCAGATATAGACTTGTTTAGGGATCTGTGCCTTTGTGCATACGGACATCTGACTGCTAAGTAGTGATTGTGTTTTTCAGCAATAGTGTGCACCCTTAATTTACAGAGAAAAGAAGGTCAGGGAAAAATCTGTAGATGGAAAAATCTCCATAAAATTTCTTTGTGCATTTTTCTTTTTTTCTACTTGTTACTTTGCACTTTTTGTTAGAAATGTTTATTTACTATTTATTCAAGTTTTTTAAGGTATCTAATATTTCGATACTTAATTTCCATGATCTAAATATTCTTAAAAATTAAAAGTTTGTTGGCATTTGGAAGTGTGTAGGCCTTCTTGCATTATTATGCTGTTACATTATGATTATATATTCAGTGGCATAAAATGGTCTTTAAAATGACAATAATATCGCTTATTGCAATTATTTCTGGGGCAATATATCGCACAACAAAAAGTTGTTATCATGACAGGCCTAATTGCAGCAGCTAACAGCTCACTGGGGGGAACAATTATACATTTTAAAACAAATTTAAGTCTGTTACTCACACAAAACTATTGCATGGTTTCAGAAGACTTTCAATATAGTGCACAACTTGTATAATTACTGTTACTGTGCTTTTTTTTTTTAAATTTGACATTGAAAGCCCCTGTCCTCATTCACTTTTGTAAAAAAATAGTTTTTATTTTAGGTGGATGGACTATTCATTTAACTTTGAAGCACTGCTGTGATTATAGATAAGAGTAGCACTACAATAACAGGAAGGTGAGTACTGGCAGAGTTCAAAATGGTTATATAGCTCCACCTAGTGGACATTCAAACTAACCACAACTCAGGTGGTGCAAGATTAAGAGATTGCGTGACTTTAGATGGGTTTCCTTTGAACTAAATCACTAAGGAACAAAGTGAAATCATCTTGCCAGATACTGCAACAGCCACATCACTCACCGTGAAACTGTCAACAGCCCTGAAATTACTGTCAACATAGACACAGACTCTGTCGAAGTCGTCCATCTCAGAGCTGGACTCTATGGTCCTATAAAAAAAAGGATAGAAACAATATAATTCTTGCACATATATATAAGAAATATTAAGAAGCACAACAGTTTCCAGCACTGATAATAAATCAGCATATTAGAATGATTTCTGAAGGATCATGTGACACTGAAGTCTGGTGTAATGATGCTGAAAATTCAGCTTTACATCACAGAAATAAATTAAATTTTAATGTATATTAAAATAGAAAAACGTTATTTTACATCATAAATTTAAAGGCGATTTTCTCAATATTTTGATTTTATATTTTGAAATTCCAGATTTTCAAATAGTTGTATCTCGGCCAAATATTGTTCTATCCTAACAAACCATAATAATCAATGGAAAGCTTATTTATTCAGCTTTCGGATGATGTATAAATCTCAATTTTGAAAAATTGACCCTCCAGGGTCACATATAAAAACAACAATAAACACTGTAATTTGTTAACATTCTGTATGTTATCCATGTAAATATTATGGTATACAAACACGGTAATCAGTGTTTGCTACTATCTGATACTGACACTGTACAGTACCATGGCACTGCTACAGTACTTTTAATAAGCTTACTAGTGTGTAGTCCAGAATTTGCAATATTCTCACCAGAAAAAGTTATCTGCGTGGCCCATGTTCACCATATAGTCCTTTCCACCAACTTCCTGAAAGTGCAGGGCGACGAAGCGTGGCTTATGCATGTGCACCGTCTAAGGAGATATGATTTACATAAGGCAATTCATTATTTTCCAGTGTGTTTATCCACTGTTGCACCTCTAAATTCATTAAAGGATCATATCCTGAGGATCATATAAGAACACTGATTTCAAATAAAAAAACATACTGAAATTAGCAGAACTCAAATTTATAATTTTTTAAAACTGAGCAGCAAAACGGTTTCATTCCAAACTTCCACTTCCAATTTTTTGACATCAGAAGAATGAATCAATACATGACCTTCCACATTTACAGTGATGTCAATAATACCTTTTCTGTCTTCAGAAACGTGTCTATAGAAAGAAGCAAGATAGATAATATCACTACTAACCATTAGAGTATTGTGGGTAGCTATATGGTTAACACTGTGTTGTTGGTGTCAGTTTCATCTTAACAGTTCGCACCGTACATTTCATTATGGATTTTTTTTTTCACAGCTTAACAAAAAGTCTGTTATTTAAAAATGGATCAGCACAAAAATAAGATCCATATGCAAAATCACAAGCACAGACATCTTAAAGACACCGGTCATAAAATGACCCATTTGCCTCAGTACTGATAAAAGACTATAAATGCCCCTGGACAATGTATTTTGATATTTTATTTGAACAACATTTACAGTGTCATGCCCATTTAGAGCCAGCTGGATTTCAAATACAATTACCTGAGATGGCAATTAAATGTAAAAGTGGCAACAGAGATTGTGTACACATTACATCTAGCAGGAAAATCATCAAATCTGTGATTCAACTTCCGTGTGCTCACAGCATGACAACAGCAGATAACATAACATGGTTTTATGGTGCACAAAAGACAGGTTGTATAAATAAGACAAACACCTTTAAGTTTACAGTGTCCGTTTAGCAGAGTAAAGTTCACTCTGCAAAGGTGTGTGTGTTTTTTTAGCAGGTTTGAACAGATGGAGAGCTCTGACGATGTCTGTGTTCCCATTAGAACAGTAAAGAGCATGTTTAAAAAAAACTGCTTTTCTACAACGCTACATTGAGCATCATCAAATGTGTGTTTGAATGAAGGACACGTGAAATGCATCAAACTCACCATGAAGAACTCTCGCAGCCAGTCTCCTTCAATCTCACCCACCTGAGGACAACAACCAGATTTCCCTGTTAGGCCACTTTTATAATACTAACAACATGGTCAGATTAACCTCTGCTGTGAGCTTTAAACTGCAGTGCGGATTAGATTTACTGGATAAAGGATTTCCGCAGCACATTCAGTAACTGAGTGCTTTCAATTGCGACATTACAGGCAATTTTGCCACTGAAGGTCTGTATCAAACCATTTAAAGGCATCATGATTATGTCCAATAATAACAAGTGCTTTCATCATGATTACTTCCATCTTAAATGGATAAAAGGTTCTCTAAACTAGACAGACATACTGACAGCACACAGTATAATAATAGTTATACAGCACAGATTGTACACTAGAGGTGTGTTTTGCACTTTGCACATTTAGTTTGTATTTCACAGTTGAAATTGAAATGATAATAAAACAATTATGCAGCTGTATATGTTATATTTATCATGAAGAGTCTAAACGTCACTCATCTATGAGGTGACAGTACAATACATCCCTTCTACTTTTATACTATTGCCAAACTACACAAGAGAAAAAAAACTGATTTACACAGTATAGTGTCAAACATATTACTAAGAAGTATATGCAGTCAACATATGCTGCAGACAGACCAGATGTCAAACTACATCTTTAAATGAAGCTATTGTGTGTTTGAAAAGACGAACAAAGATACGAAAGAAAAGAATCAACCTAAAAAACTGAATTAATAATATATGAAAAACTGAAAGTAAAAAGCATTTAAAGCACGTGTGCATGTGTGTGGTGGAAAACATTGATCAAATGTTTGAAAAACCATTATTTGAAAAAACAGGTTTCAAACACGGTCACATCTGATACTTTAGATATCGTTAACAATTAAAACATAAAACATTAAATATTGAAGCCTGTTTCCACCATGCTGAATAAAAAATAAAACAAGGTAACTGTGACTCCCAATTCTGTCTTCAAACTTTCTGCTGATAGTCAACAATATGATTAGAGACTAGTTTGAGGGAGTATCCAGTGAATGGACCAGTGCCTGTGTATATTTGCATCTGAAGATCTGTGCCCTGCCACTGCAGGTCATGCATTGCCCAAATGCCTGCCATTTGAGTGAGTAGGCAAAAGGAATTAAAAGCCAGCAAGCATGTAGCTCTAGAATGTGATATGGGTTCAGGAAGGAGCTTAGATATTTCAGCTATGAGGGTGGAGAATGAGAACAAGCTTCTATGACATGTTCTATGATGTGTGATATCTTTCACGGCTATTTCAAGCAGTCTCTTGGGAAAAAGAAGTATACTTTAGAATACTTTTTTAAAAAGTATTTATTATGGAAATAATATACTTTAAAATAATATACTTAAGTGCGAACTGAATGCAATGTTTTCAGACATGCACTTAACCTTATGTTGTATTATCGGCATTTAAGCTGAAATTTCTATTAAATGAACTTGCTTTTTATATGTAATTCTATTGTCTTTGAAATATGGTACTGCTGAATAGTAGCATTTATGCTAAACTAATGTTTAATTACACATTTATAATAATGAACTTGCAATTTAGTACATTTAAAATAAATTAACTTTAAATGTAATATTGAATAATATTGACTACAGTTAAAGCAGCACTAAGTAACTTTTGTCGCTCTAGCGGTTAATAAACAGAACTGCACACATCCCGCGGAAGAACATTCCAACCGGAGCTACTTCTCTAAGTTTATGTCTATGGCGATTCACGCAGGTATGTGTTCCTCCGCAGCGGTGATGACTCGACCAGGCTACAATAGTCCAAATATAAGTACTTATTATAAGTGTAGCGTAGTGATTCGGAATAAGACAAAAACGCGGTTTGGAAGATGAATTCATGATGTGCTCATTATATGCATTTAGCAAATTTTGAACACAGAAAAAGTTACATAGTGCTGCTTTAAAATAACAAAGTACTTTACATTAGTCAACACATTAAAGTGTACTTCTTTAAAGCATGAGAAAACATGAAAACTTTTTTATATTAAAACTTTTTGAAAGTGCACTTAAGTGTGTTAACACGAACACTAGATTTTAGAGTTCACTACACTACAAGTGCACATTTAATACTACTAAGCACACTTCTTTTTCACAAGGGTTCCGAATGGAACATGGACTTTTTCCACATTCTTTGGTAAAAATCTATAAAACTCTATAACGTGTGAATTAATGTTGTATTTTTTTTTTACTGCATTCATTATTGGTAGTTTAAAGTATCATAGCCAAATATTTAATAAATACATAAGTAAAGAACGGTTCAGTTCTGTGTGAAACTGCAGATTCATCAATAATGCCAGGCATAAATAATGAAGACTATAACTATATATAAGTATAGCATGTAGAAAAATAAAATAAACAGTAAAAAAAAAAATCAGCTACAGAATAAGTAAATGTTACACAACATATTCAAAGATATCTCTAGCCACTTCCTAATAACGCTGGTTGCTACAAAACAGACCGTTTTTATCAGTGTCACAGATGTGTGCCCCTGTGGTCTGCTATACTATAACCACAAGTGTAAAATTGACTTCACTCCTTCTGTCGACTCGACGCAGAGCAGTAAGGTAAAGGACAGAACTGTGATAAAGAGCAGACCACTGCCGGTCTGTCTGCAGGCTGCTGAAACACTGCTGTACATATTGCTCTGCTTCTTTTGTTTTTGTGTCTCTTTCATGCTATAACCACTTAAAAAGTGCAAACACTGACCACTCCCTTTACAGCCCATCAAGCAAGCGGTGAAACCAGGTCAAGAGAATTCGACTGCACGGGCCTAGATCAGGGCCTAGAATAGAATTGCATCTGATGCGATCTACAGTGTTACTTTGATCTTGTAAAGACCTTTTATGGACTGTCGCTCACATGCCTTCAATCTTTGTGTTCTTAGTTCCACTGAATTTGAAGGGTGGGGAGGCCAGTGGAAACTTCCTTCATCTCATCTCTCAAGAGGATTTCCCAAATTTGCAATGCATCATTTCCTGTTGCCAGCTCCAGCCCGTGCTAACATTCGACTTGAAATAGCACACAAGAACTAAGTTAATTGACTTGGAGTGCTTTTAAACGGCAGGCAAACACTGCAGTGGCTTACAGGGGACACTGATGCGGGGAACAAGATATTTTTAACCAGCTCTGATGAAGTGCTGATAAATCAGACACGCTTGCACCTGGGCATTCGGTTATAACTGCATGACTGTACGATTTGATCTAACACGGATGCAATGTCAAAAACAAACAGTCTTTGCGAAACACTCGGTGCATTACAAAAACGTGTTGACAGAAATGTCTTTACCCTGAAGCATACTTCACGCAAGAATGCGAGAACAGAATTGTTGCGATTCAAGTAAGCTGTCATAAATGTATTGACTTTTACTCGTTCGGCAGGATTCTCATGATCTGCCATGACAGAACAAGAAAATACAAGATAATTTATGCAAAGAAGCTATAGCATACTTTAAGTGCCCTAGGAATTGCAGTCATTTTCAAGACCAAATGTGATAACTTCATAGTTATGAGATATAATATGCAGGCTATTTTTGTGTGAATAATAAAATAAAACATCAAGAGATGTTATACAAAATTAAAAATTTGAATTTATATTCCGCATAAACAAAATGACGCTTATTTTTAGCAACATGAAGAGTTTTTATTTTGTACTGTGGCATTACCATTTCATTATAATACATAAAAAATTGTGTATGCTGAGGGGGGAAAAAACTGTGTCCAAAAATGTGCTTTCATTGCCATGAAACTGACATTTTAAAATATATATTTTTTTTTTTTTGACTTTGGGGCGAATCACCTGGCCTCAGTGGTTCACAGAAACTATTAGCACTGGACTCATTATGCTTTTAGTTAATGCAGGCCAGGACATTTCAACATTTTCTGTGGGATACACACCCCAAATGTTATCACCTCATTAAACATGATGAATCGTAGCTAAACATTCTAAACTCAAGGATGTTTCAAAACTTGACAGGTCTGGTAAACCCTTCTTGTGGATAGGAAAAATGTAACCATTTTTGGAAGTCTGCTACAACATTTATACCGACCTATTCAAAGAAGAAGCGAGGAAGGGTTGAAGTCCTTTGGGAAATGATATTCATCTGTTTACAGTCACAATGGACTGTGACATGTGCTTTTTCTCAGCCAAACATGGCCGGAGGAAACTGGGTACGCGGCCAAATTTCCACTTGCAGCTTCAGTCCTCCATACGCACAATGAAGCCAATGCTCTAACAAATACGTCTAAACCACAACTCCGGAAAATCTGGACTGAACATTCACAGTATGAGGGAAAATTAACTCCACAGCAAGATTTTAACTAGATTTTTATTTTCTGAATAAAATGTGAGTGTAAAAAAAACAGTGCTCTAGGGTGTTGTATGAGATTTCCTTGCATTCAGACAATGCTTGTGCTCTCCTTCAGTGTAAACATGTAGCATTTTTTTGCGTTTTATCATCCAGAAATGCGATCATTTAGAAATGTAGCACAATCCTTTACTCTGGTATCAAACATGCCTTTAGCACAAGTAGCGGACAAACTACATAAGCTAAAAAAACTGTGCTAAATCCAATGTAAAATTCTCAAACTGTTGCGTGACATACTATTGAAAAAAATATAAATCAGTCTGCTGCGTATGGTTTTCCCAGTATATCACAGTCACCTGCTGCTAGCATTAAACTCATTGTTTTTTCACCAAAATGTTAACTGTCCATTTAAGTTAGTGGGCAGTTTTCATGTTTTAAAGGTATCATGGTTCCCTAAAAGTCGACTCATGTAGAAAGCAATTCAATAGAGACTAGTATTAACTAACACTGACTAGTTTCATGAGAATCCAGTAAGCTAAAAAAAACTGTGCTAAATCCAATGTAAAATTCTCAAACTGTTGCGTGACATACTATTGAAAAAAATATAAATCAGTCTACTGCGTATGGTTTTCCCAGTATATCACAGTCACCTGCTGCTAGCATTAAACTCATTGTTTTTTCACCAAAATGTTAACTGTCCATTTAAGTTAGTGGGCAGTTTTCATGTTTTAAAGGTATCATGGTTCCCTAAAAGTCGACTCATGTAGAAAGCAATTCAATAGAGACTAGTATTAACTAACACTGACTAGTTTCATGAGAATCCAAATTCCAATAGTGACTAATCTACATATATGGACTCCAGGGCTGGATTGGTAATCGGGCATACCGGGCATTTTCCCGGTGGGCCGACGCACTTAAGGGGCCGACAGAATGTTTTTTTGCCGAAGACCATCATTGCATTGATGGCCCAATAGAAACAGTTATTTGAAATAGTAAAAATATTTCACTATATTACTGCTTATGCTGTATTTTGGATCAAATAAATGCAGGCTTGGTGAGCAGAAGAGAATTCTTTAAAAAAAAACATTAAAAATCTTACTGTTCAAAAATGAAATGCTGCCTTTGCAGCTAGTTTAAAAAAAAGTTTACTTTTAAAATATATTTTAGGTAAGCATTGTTTTTGATGGTTTTACAGTAATACATTTGTATTAATGTACACAGTAGTACATTAGGCTACTATTCACAAGCACATGTGTATTTGTTTTTCTCACAAGTATGGACTAACATTCTCTTATTCTAGATGTCCATAACAAAAACGTGTTTGGTTTCAGCTTCAGTAACTACACACCCTGCTGCCAACATTAGGCTACTATTCACAAGTAGGCAACATATGTTTTTGTTTTTCTCTTCAGTATAAACTAACATTATCCAGTCTTATTTTAGCTGCAGGACAGAGTGTTTAGCAGTACAGTACAGTGCAGCAGCTCAGCTCCCCAGTTTCGCGGTAGCGCTTTGAAAAATCCCACAACCGTCTGTCACACTGTCAGTTTCCTGTTTTATTTGAATACACACTCAGGCCGGCGGCGCGGTGTGTGATAGGTCCTTAGACCTGTGGGGAGGTGCTGTCAGACAGCACACCGTGAATGGGAGACGAGCTCACTCTAGACTGGGGACTCGAGCGCAAGAAAGGCCCAGTGGAGCGAAGAAAACCTGAAGAGCACCGTGCTTCAACGTCTGTCACACTGTCAGTTTCCTGTTTTATTTGAATACACACTCAGCCCGGTGGCGCGGTGTGTGATAGGTCCTTAGACCTGTGGGGAGGTGCTGTCAGACAGCACACCGTGAATGGGAGACGAGCTCACTCTAGACTGGGGACTCGAGCGCGAGAAAGGCCCAGTGGAGCGAAGAAAACCTGAAGAGCACCGTGCTTCAGTATGGAGGAGCCGCACCAGGAGGTCCAGCTCTATCACTGAGCAGAGAGAAGCGTCGGTGCCGCTCGCGCAGGACGCGTCCTTGCGTTCCAAAACAGCGAGACGCAGCGGAACGGAACGGAGACGCGTTTTAAAAGTCGAACTCCTTTTAACTCGCTACGAAACGCACAACGCTGAAAAATCCGTCTAGCGGGTGTTTACATTAAAATAATACTAATAGGCTACTTAATAAAACAGCGCAGAGTGACGCAAGAAGCCGTCCCTTGTGAACGGCATCTTACAATATAACAACGGCGGAGTTATCAAATAATACAGGCTGAACTGTACAGACTGAAATAATTAAACGCGGTTTAAAGCGTCAGCTATTCGGGAGGGTGTTTTGGCCTACCTTTATTCATGTAACGACTGTTTTTAAGACCGCCTAAGAAACACAGGTAGGGCTCAGCAGCAGGTTAACTAACGTGAACCAATCGCGTTCAGTTGCAAAAGAAGCAGTTGTGAAATAATTCGCTGCGTCGACTCATTTACGCGGCGCATATCTGAGCTGGAAAATGATAAGG